TAAATATAAATATAAATATAAATATAAATATAAATATAAATATAAATATAAATATAAATATAAATATAAATATAAATATAAATATAAATATAAATATAAATATAAATATAAATATAAATATAAATATAAATATAAATATAAATATAAATATAAATATAAATATAAATATAAATATAAATATAAATATAAAAATAATAACAACAATAATAATAAAACATAAAATGTCTGTAACTAATTTTTATTGCACTTTTGAATGGAATTGTAAGAAACTAAAAGTTGTGGAAAACAAAAAGTTTGAAAAACCCAAAAACAATTGGAAGAAGCTGGAACTCTAGAAGAAATTGGAACTGTAAACGCAATTGAAAAGACTAAGGAGTTTGAAAAAACTGGAAAGTTAGAAAAATAAATTGGAAGAAACTTTAAAAAATGGGACGGAGTTGGAGAATATTGAAAGTTAAGATTTAGAATTCAAAAAATAGAGCATTAAATGGAAGTAAAATTTAGTCATAAAAAATTTTAAAAAAAACTGAAAGTTAAAAAAACTAAAAATATTTGGAAAATTTTGAAAAAATTGCAAGAAACAATAGGAACACATTGAAAAAAATGAAAAGTGTTGAAATGTATATTACTCCAAACATTTTAACTTTTTTTCTCTTTTTATTTGTTTTATATTATGTGACTTTTGTTTCAAATAGTATATTGTAATATTTTTATATGTTATTGACTAGTTTTGACTTTCAGCAATCAATCAAAATTTGTATTTGACTAATAATTAAATAAAAATTACATTTTATATTAATAAATTAGATAAATAAAATGTTTGGATATAATTTATAATTAAATAAAAATTAAATTTTATATTAATATTTTAGATCAATATTCAATTAGGTATACGAATGGAGGTAGTATTTATTTTACATCAGACATCCATATTTCAAAATTAACCAAACATTGTACATCACACATATACATATTTAAAAATTAAACAAATAGTATATATGTATAAACTATATATTTGACTTAATTATTTGGAGGGAATGAAAATAACAGGATGCAATTATTTATTAAAACCCAATTATATTGGAGAGAAGCAACTAAATTAGGTATAAGATTAAGTCACATTGCATGACAATCCAATATTATTGAGGGAAGCTAAAAAAAATAAGACTAAGTCACATTCCATAACAATCCAATATTTTTGCTAAACCCGTAAGATAAAATTAAAAATCCAATACAATATATAATTCAAGTTAATCACGCACCACAAAAATTTATTGTACTTTAAATTTATTTTTTTTAAAATGTAACTGTAAATGTTTTGATTCATAAAAAAATAAATACGCTCAGTCAAAAACATTTAATTATGTAATTAAGAAAATAAAATTCAAATTAGTAATTTCTATCAAGTCTCTACCGTACATTCAACAAGCCAAAGAATGGATGAAGATCCTAAATTATAGTCACTTTACACTACGCCAAAATCTAAGTTATTTTACACAATAGATGAGGTAAGAGTAACTTTTAGGTGCCTATTTGGTAGCATTTAATTGGCTAATATTACAATGTGCCAGCCAAAATATTTTTAAACATAAAGCCAAATTAAAAAATTCAAATAATAATACTATGATACTACCAATTGTGCAAAAAAGCAAAATAACTTTGTTTATTTCACCAACACATGACCTTAATTTGGAATGCAATTTTCATCTTTTTATATCATTAAAAGTTAAAACATTTTGAGACAAAAATTATCATTCAAAAAAGCCAAAACTCAAGTTGATGAACTTCACTAATCATCATAAAAAAGGTGAGAGTAACTAGGAACTTATATTAGTCCCCATTTTGGTTTGTTACCTCTTCCTCTACGCGCGTACAATTGTAACACATTTACTCGTGATGCCATCATCATCAGTCGCTAGAAGCTTCTATAACATACTTGAGAAGAAATATATGTTTGAAATCAAGAACCTCAATCAGCTTAATAGAATTGCCCTCAATATCAAACTAAATAAACTCTACTTGTGTCGCGACTTGTTTAGGAAAATCAGTCTTTTGCCCTTCACATACGCTAAAACCTACTTTTAATAATCTACCCTTATACCAAGATGATGAAGAATTATTATTAACAACTTCATCGAAAAATTTTCTACATCATAACCTTACATTGCCTATGCTTCAAGAATATCATCATCTCCCAAGTAGACACTGCAACTAGTTTAACATCCACCAATAAGATCTAAATACATCCAAGATTCAATAAGCATCAATATGAGAGGAAGATGTAATTAGTTATACTCTTTAGTGCAAGAATTGAGGACATTTATTCTTTGTTCAGAGAGCCAATACAATTTTATATTAACCCCACCATAGAAATCAAAGTGATGACAAGACTTATACATACAATCTCTAATTTTTCTCCGTGCACCTGACTTTAAGCAACAAATGAGAGTTCTGTGCATAAACTCTGCACTTCGGTAGTTGAATTTTCGCGATATATATTTTAAAAGTTTGGAATGTGATGAAACTTTTAAAAAGCGGGAAAGTCTAGAATTTGCTTGGCTTGAAGGGAAGATAATTTTGTGTATGCACCCATGAAATTTAGCATTTGCTCTCCCCATTGACACCTCATGGGTGCATGTACACAGCTCCACTTCAAGTCAAACAAATTCTAAAGTGTCTCCATCCTTTCTAGAAATTTCCTCCCATTCAACACCTTTCAAATATATACTCTGCAATGTAGTATTAAAATTCTAGACTAGTATGTATGTAATGTGTTACAAAAAGAATATTATATAATTTTGGGTGTTGCACTTTTCCCCAATGTTTATAGTAAATTCTTATTTATGCAATGTTAATAAGTTTCTATTTTTTAAAATAAATTACATACGATAAAAATGCAGGGGTAAGAATCTGGTCTTTATGAAAATAAACAATTAATAAAACCTTGAGATTTTTTTTTAAGAAATGTGTGTTTAGCATGAAGTGCATGGCACATTTTGGCAGAAACATGTTCTCCTCAAAGTTCTAAACTTTAATCGTAACTCTGAAAATGCCTAACCTTCCCTCCAACATTTACCAAGAAATTCTCTTCTACCTCCCCGCCAGCTTGCTTTTCTGGCTCTAAAGCGTGTGCAAGGAATGGAAGCAGCTCATCAAAGGTCCATCTTTGCCCACGCAAAGAAGCAACTCCCTTCAAACACCATTCTCATTTGAAACAGAATTGAGGCATCACTCTACTTCATTGACTCTTTTTTGTGAGATTCCAGTGGTTGTGTGAACAACGCAAGTTAAGTGATAGTTGCAATTCTCATGAAGCAATTGATTCACCTTGACATGGATATGTTGCTTTATTTGACGACACCCTCTTTCAATAGTTTGGTTTCCATCCCCATGTTGGATAGTGGGATGATAAGAGAGTTTGGGTCGTTTAGAGTTCATTAACCAAAAGTTGCCACCAATTACCCAAAGTCAATTATACCGGTTCATTATTAAAAGGTCTACTTATTGGGTACCATATTGTTTTTTATGACTACAAATTTGTGGAAATAAAAAAAATCACCCTAGGTGGAAAGGTTGCGTATACACGACTCATTCACTGCTTAAAATCAGTTGCATGAAGAATGATTAATCACTTTCCTTATTACTCTTAACATTGCTTAGATATCCGTAGTGACATTCCCGTAAATAGAAATTTATATTGCCTCTCTGAACAAAGAATTAATACCCTTAATCTTAGCACTAAAAAATATAGCCAATTAAATACCTACCGAGTATTGGATGTATTTAGATGTTATTGGTGGATGTTTAACTTTGAATTGCAAAGTGAACATGAAGGATAACTATATTTTTAAGCATAGGCAGTGCCAAATTACAACATAAAAATTTCATGGACGAAGTTGTTTATGTTAACCCTTCATTATCCTCGCATAGTAGAATATTAAAAACAATTTTTAGCGTATGTAAAGAGAAAAAGGCAGGTTTTTTGAGCAAGTCATGACGCATGAAGAGTTTATCGGATTTGATATTAAGAGCAATTCTATATTGAGATTCTTGGTTTCAAGCATATTTCTTCTCAAAGTTTGAAATGAAAGCCTCTATCATGATTGCAACACTAATAGATGCATTGCAATTATATGCAGATATAGGAAGAGGCAACGAGCCAACATGAAAATTCACACAGAAGTCCAAGACGCCAAGCTACTCGCCCCTTATGATGATTTGTGAAGTTCATCACCTTAAATTTTGGCTTAATTTGAAAAATTTGTTTATATCTTTTAACAATATAAAAAGACAAAAATTACATTTGAAATTTCATTTTTTTGTGAATGGGGGTATCGGTGAGGGCGTATATTAAGAAGTACACTGTTGGGTAATAGGGGGATAGAGTGATAGTGCGATTGGAAGGGTGGAAGGGTTGTAGGTTCAAGGAATATAGATGCAAAGTCTTGGAATAATGATTGTAAGGCTGTGGGTATCTCGGGTAGGGTTTCCGATTCAGTATTAAGGTGTTGAAAGGCTGCAGACTACTGAATACCAGAAACTAAGCTTTGCAGCTTGTATTTCTACCCATTGATGGTGAAAATAAGGAACATTTCGTTCCAAAAAACCTGCCTTTTGAGTTTACACTTTGCATTGGAAAAATGTCCTTTGCTTTGAGATCACAATGGTAGACATTAGCTACAAAACATTTAACATCAACATGCACGATCGCTTTTGAAGCATAACTAATATCACTGCATACAAAGAAGGGATTTCAAAGGCAAATGGGCGTGGTAGACTGCTAGTTACATCTGTGTTAGCAAGTGTTAGCAAGTGTTAGTTGCACATTCTGGAGTGAATGAATATAAACCATAATAATTGGCACTTGGACAAAATTAGTCTGTGATAAAACTTTCTGTAAGGGTAAAAATCACAGACCTTAGAAAAACTTCCTAAATTGGAAAGCAAAAGAAGGCTAAGCTTTGGAATTCATACCGAGAGCCTACAAGGAAAAGAAGGTGGTGATGATGATGATGATGAAATTAAAATTTAAAGATTTTAGATAAACATTCTCGATTTAATATTAGTTAATTTATGAATTCGGAAAGTGATAAATTTGAAAATCCTAAATTAAAAGAGAGTAAAATAAATAAATAAAAATGGGTAAATACTGCCATTGAGTCATCTTCCTATTCGCTCGGACCACTTGCCAACCAGGACTGGAGGTCGCATGGTCTTGATGGAGATCTAGTTCCATTAGCTCAAAAACAGCCTAAGTATGTTGAAATCGCGTATATGAATAGATCTTGAAAATTGCCAATACATAAGGAGATATTGCTAATTAAACAAGCCAACTACAAACGGAGTATTACCTTTTAAATAGGGATCTGCTAGCCAAAGTGGTCTTTGCTGCGCCTAAGATCTGCGGTCGTTACCGCGTCCAGCCCAGCCGGTAGCCATAGTTGCTTTCTTACCCAGGCGTTACAAAACTGCCACACATGTCTGGTTCCCCTGAATCTGTCGTTGCCAAGGAGCCATGTTGCTGTCGTCGTCTCTGTTTCCATGGCCGAGCTTAGGTTAGAAACCCTAGGTCAGGGCCTTCAATTTTTTACGGAGTGTATTGACTATTGAGTTTCAAAATGACTGATAATAAGAGGGATTCACTAGTGAAAAATCTATACATATACAAAGCTAAAGGGGTAAAAATGAACAGTAAATTTTCCCGCCCAAATATTTTGGGTTCGGGTATGGTAATGGGCCTGTGGGGAAGAGCATTAATTATGAATGTTGAGACACCTGCAAAAGGAAAAAGGACACGGTACTCTATCAGTCAAAGAGAAAGTATGGGAGAAGCTAAAGAGTTGTTTTAAAAACCGGATCTGCATCGACCCGCCCAAACCAGGTAGACCCGGCGGAACCGGTGAACCGGGTCGACCCGGCCGACCCGCGGGTTTCTTTCTAAAGTTTTTTTTAAATTTTTTTGTCTATAAAATAAAATGTTGGAGTTAGGATTTGAACACTAGACCTCACCATACAACTCTCTTACACTATAACCACTAAAGCTACTCAACACTTGTTAACAAAGTCATGCTGAATAGTATATATAGTTCTTTTTTATTTGTGTTGAGTGAATTAAAAAAACTTCTAACTTCTAAGTTCTAACTTCTAAAAAACTTCTAAGTTCTAACTATTTGTGTGATTATTTTATAATCTTTTAAAATATTTCAAAGTAAAAGACATATTATTTTTCGTATCAAATAATAATGAATAATTTATATCTAAACAAATATTATCATCTATAAAATGGAGAAATATATACTAATTATAATAAAATATGAAAAGTGTGAAAGAATATAGAACAATGACATTGAAAATAACATGAAGAAGAAAAAAAATACAATTTTAAATATTTTATTTAACATTGAGAATAACATTTACATCTTTCCTTAATATGTGTGTCCAATTCAAATGGAAAGATTAAAGTTAGACGGAGAGAGTATGTGCTTCGTATTATTTTGAAATAATATGCATATTTAAGTTATGTGATAGTATTTTATTATCTTTAAAAATAGTCCACAAAATATGGTATTCTTTAATTTTTTATTATCTAAACATAAATATGAATATTATATACCAAGTAAGGGGTCGTTGACCGGGTCGTTGACCCGAGTTGATGGTGTAAATTATCGACCGGTATATCGTTTTAGCCCGGCAAAAACGATAAACTAGTCTAAAAAATACACCAAACTATAAATACGAGGATTTTTACGGGGAAACCCAAATCGGGAGAAAACCACTGGCCTTTTTTGGCGGTACCTTGCCAACGGGGGATTTTTATTGATATCGGGGGTGTGTACACGGTACAAGAATCGGGCTCGGAAGCCATTAATAGAAGCTTAAAAGCTTATTGAAGAACAAAAACTATAAAATGCTAGAGAGAGAAAGTATAGTGGGCAGGGGAGAAAGTGATTTGGCCTCCTCTTCACATTGGGGGCACCCCTCTTTTTATAGGAGGGGGGAGCATCTTCGGAGAATATTCTCTTATTCCTCTATTTTATTAAACAGTCCCGGTTTGACTGTTCTTCGTAAAATAATTGGGAAATGTGGGCCGTGCCACGTATTATTTCCCATCAATAAGTCCTCCACTTTTTTAAGTTGTGAGAATCATCAACTTGAAAAAGTAAACAAGTCCTCCGAGTGCTATCTTCAATCTTCGTACTTTGGATTCTTGACCAGTTGATATTGTTGCTAGTCCTCCGAGTCTTCATTAGTTCTCCAATTTCTTGAATCAGAAGGTTTTCCTGTAAAAATAATATGTACAACATTTTTTTTTGACCGGCCTATGCCGTGCTCAAATAATTATTATCTTTACCGAAGAGCTCGGTGTTAGAGTGATTAAACTTCGCGCGAATAATTATTGTAACTAGAGTGATGTCAGTTCGATAAAGCAGCGATGCTTCGAGTAGTTATACGACACCGGAGTTAGTACGATGAAGCGGCGGTGCTTCAAGTAGTTATTTCGTTGAGACCGATGTTAGTACGAACTAAGTATACGATGCATGACGAAATTAGTATACAGACGACATTGACTTTAGTTAATAAGAATTGAATCCGATGCAGTAGCTTTGTTGAAGATCAGCGTTAGCCCGGCTGACTGATGTAAATATCTTCATGTCTCGCGGAGACCATCTTCGATCAAAGTGCCTCGAATAGAGGGCTTAAATGAATTGGGCGTCCCCGATATGAGCTCGGCTCACTTTTTTGCTGAAACCGGTGTACAATCGGTGTACCCAATTCGATTGGGCTCAGGCTTATTGGAAAATATGTGTGAGACCGGTGTGAGACCAGTGTACCAGTTTGACTGGGTCACATATTTTCTTTATTATACTGAGCAAGACCGGTGTAGTAACCAGCGTGCCAGGCCAGGCCTGTGTCTCAGTCTTCCAATAAGATAATGCTGCTGGCCGGGCCAGGTCAACATTGGAGAATTAACCATGTCGGATGGTTTCGAGCCCTCTCCAAGGCCCAAAATGCACCCTTCTTCCAGGGCCCCCTCTTCCGGGTGATTAAGTCTTTTAATGGCCCTTTGATATTTACTATCCCGGGAAGGCCTTAGCTCACCCCCCCGTTCAAGTCTTCCCTGAGAAGGGGGAAATAGGATGCGCCACGGTGGACGTTCCCTCTTCTATTTATTTTAATGGGCATCTTTTAGTCCCCAATCAATTTGACGGCACCGGCTGATTCTCCGATACCGGTCAAACCTCATGGGCCCGTGTAAGTACGGTTCGAACCTTCTTCCAGGTCCAGCCCTCTTGCAGGCATACCCTCTTCCGGGTTTATTATTTTTTTATTTTATACTGAGCAAGACCGGTGTAGTAACCGGCATGCCAGGTCCGGGCCTGTGTCCCAGTCTTCCATCCTTTCTTTGTAAAGTATTGAGCCACACCTGTGTAGCAACCGATCGGACTCGTGTCTCCGTCTTTCTTTTAATTAGGCAAGCTTATTATTTGAGGGACATAAGAGGATCAGGTACGGTCCACTCAAAATGATCCCCCACCCTTTTTTAAGCTTTTTCCCATTTGTATTTTTGCAAGCGCCATCCATTAAATAATATAAATGGTCCCACCACTTAGCTTTGCACTTTTCTCCATGGATGTTTTTCGATTCATAGCATGTGGACTGCGACTTGCATTTCATTGAACGGGCCCCTCATAATTGGGTGTATGAAATTATTCAATTAATAATGAATAATTGGACCCCACATGGCATGTGCAGTACTGCACTGTGGACTCTTCATACGGAGTATTTGCTTGGATTCATCTTGGCCGAATAAGCTAGGTAGCTTCCCGTAGCATTCTTTTTTCTTAGCCACTCATGGAGGAGCGGAGAGGGGACACCCACAGAGGCCGGTAACACCCATCAACCCGCCGATCGCTTTCCCTCGTTTGCACGGCGAAGAATGGACACTTAGCCAAGGCGGCAAGAGAAGTTCACCGGGTGCAGTGCTTCACCGATGGGGGCAGGAGTTCTGGATTTAGCTAGAGAGCATCCTCCCAAGCCGGTTGTGGAAAGTCACACCAACAGTAGCGACATATCGAAGCAGGCGTAGTGGGTTTGAACAACCCCGTAGCAACAAAAATGAACTTCTGCAATAGAACCATGGCAGTGGCCGGTTCTGCACAGAGCAGATGGCCTGCCGCGGTGATGTACTCCGGCCACTTCAATTGAAACTCAACGGCGGTGATGGTTGAATGAGGTGTTCTTGGCGGCAATTTTAGCGGAGACCATAATGATGACGGTTGTCTTTGACGGTAATGGCAGCGTCCGATGAGAATCCTTCAAGGGGAGGATAGGCAAAGGCATTACCTTACAACCGTAAATCTGTGACCGACGTCGCTCCGGTTAAACCGGTCTTCTCCCGCTCAAGATCATCTTTTCTGCAAACGAGTCGTAGTCACAGATTTCTGGCGGCGACGACGACTTCAGCTCCTAGCCCTAGATGCGGACGGCGGTGAATGGCTCCAATGACCAACGATGATTGAGTTCGGCGGCAGCGGCAATCCTGTCGATTGAATTCAGTGGCAGCGGCGGCTCTGAGTAGCGGCAGAGGCGGCAGATCTGAGCGGCGGCAGTTGGTTTGAAGTGCGAAAATGACCAGATTCCTGCGGTGGGAGTGTCAGCTACGAAATCCAGTAGAAATTGGAGTCTTCCGTGGTCGGCTGGCTTTAACGGAAACGTTGAAGCGGTCATGAGATAAATAACTGTGGTGGGGATGGCAACGACGAAGTTTGGCTTCGTCGGCAGTAATGGCCTACTCTGGTGGCTTCGGCAGATATGGACGGACAGTTCTCTAGGGATGAGTAGCTAGAGGCTGCCGGCAACGGAAAACTGAAATCATCATCTGGCGATAAACAGAGTGGGAGCAAACTGTGGCTCCCATGTCCATCAAAGCCAAAGATTACCTCAGTGTCGGCAGTGGTGGACTTCTGGTGCTAGGTGTCGACAGTGGTTCCTGATTGCTCCTCTCCCCCACGCTCCTCCAGCCCGTGCTAGATCTCAGGGCCGGCGACGGGGGAAGCAGTGAGAGGCCTGGCGTGTTCGACATGAGACGGAGCCCAGGCCAGCGCCCCCTTGGAGATTGGCTTCTCTCCTTTGACAGCAACGATAATTTCCTCCGATGGTGGGGTAACCGTGTGCGGTATTGAAGAGGCGCGGAGGTCAGATTTCGGTACTCGATCTAAATCTTTCCCCCATTTTTCAATGTAGTGAGAGGCTCCGTCGAAGTGCTTCTTCTATCGTCGGAATGGGGCAGCCATGACGCCTGAGTCTCCTCCTCGTCGCCGGAAATAGTAAGGTGCTGGAGGAAGGCGTCCGACTGCTGGATGCTGATTCCCGCTGCTGGTTTGTCGTCGAATGGAAGCTTCAGCGGCATGGACAGGAAGAAGTCCATTTTGCGGGCCGGTATTTGGGCCCAAACATTTTTTTC